GAGAAATGATGGAAAACATGAACACGTTCGTTGTTTTCCATCATTGTCTATTTTGAAATATAATATGATAGGTAGTTCTGATAAGGCACTTTTATCCAACTTTTCACATAGTAGCTAATGAATCTATGTAGTTTATTAATGATCCCTAGTATATTGGCCACTAAACTCCGTCTTTTCCTTAGACATGATAAAAATTTGACAATTCTTTAAAGCCCCAGGCTAAAATAGCAAAGGAGGGTCCAACTTGATGGGCTGAAGCCTCCAATTGTTTCGAAGGGAGGGAATTGTTCGAAACTGACAGAAAACCACTGTTCCAAATTCAAAAGGGAGGGAAGCTAGAAAAAACCAATCCTGTTCAGATTGGCTCCCACCAATCCGAAACATAGTCAAATGGGAGGCAACCCTGTCAGACACTGTCGCCACGCCCAAAACTTCGATTGGCATTTGCCCAGGATCGCCCAAGCTCCTTGCGACGAAACCCTTCTGATGCAGTGTCGCCCGCTAAACCAAGATGGGCCCAACTCGATTTTCAAGTTGAGCCTAGGTTTGTTTCATGGTGGTTCAGAACAGCAGAAACACTGGTACAATACCTTGCTTCAACTTAGCAAAAGATCTAGCATTTGAACCGCCAAGCCAAGATAGTTGCGACGGCCACCATTAGATGGCTAGAATCCGAAAACGTTTGACTAGGGCTAATCTCTGTTACGTCAGCGACACAAAAGTCGATGGAGATAGAGGTGGACCATACCTGCACTTGGCGTTTCGCAATCGCGTTCCACCTCGTAATGTTGGATTGCGCCGCGCTGTCAAGGAAGGGACGGCCTACGACAGAAACCGAGGTGCTTGCTAAGCTGGGACAGGCCTTCAGTCACATGGGACCCATGCACAGGACGGCAGACACGTTTAGAGCGGATGAACAAGGCAGGATTCTGACCCTGAATGGGGAGGACGATACCGGAACGCCGAGTCGCCCTGCCAAACGAGGTACGCGGGTTCTCCATTGCCCGACAGCCGGGAACACACCGCCACCCACCGCTGGGTCGCGCCTGAACGGCTTGGTCCACGTTTTCTTAAGAGCACGTGAGAAGCCGTGTCGTGCAAATCACTGTTGCGTCAGTGTACAAACAACCCTCTGTGATTCGCGCCTCAATTACAACGTAACGCGCCCACCCTCGTGCTCTAACCCCCTTCTTCCTTTGCGTGTGTCTTTACTGTGCTCGAGCAGCCTGCCAAGGGGCATAAAGTGCGGCGCATACGAAGCAACCAAGTATCTCTTGCTGGCATCTTTCACAACACCACAAAAATGGCTAGAATACAGTCTAAGTGCATAGAAATCACGTGCGTGATGTATGCAGTTACGAAACAAGCAGGTTGCTACGAGTGGATGGCATCCAACATGCCACTCGACAGATACAAGGAGAAAATTCCGAAGCACAACGCGTGGTAATGGACGGAATGCCTGGCCAACATGCACATGCCGCGAAACAAAAGCATACGAGAGGTCGAACGTGTGTTGGGGTATGGAAAAATTCACGCCCGGCAAAATCCAACTACCGGGCCGCGTGATTGCACGCGCGGCATGAAAGAGATGTCATACCACCCGACAAGCAAGGCTCGCTAGGACCAAGCCTTGTGCGGTCAAATCGCACCCACGAGCGTAACATGACGTCGCGGGGCATTGCACATACTGTATCAAGGTGCAACGTCAAATCGCGACGATATGCTGTGCACGAATGCACGTAAAGGCGAAGCGCGCCTCGGACAACACGCATGGCAGAGCACGAAGAACGGGACCCGGGGCAGCTGGCCCCCGCGCGTGCCACTCTGCGGAGACGCATGAACAAAAGACGTGCACATAGAGTCAAAATGGCTAGACGATTGACCATGTGCAGCACTGCCGGGCTTTGCTATGGACGATGCAAAAATATACCGAATTAGGCAACCAAGCAAACACCAAGACGAGTGGCTCGCCTTTTGTGGGCAAACTCGGCTACGCATAGCGACGTAGCCGTGTATTGCCAAAACTTGGGGACTGCCGCCAAGCATCAAACGGCAACTGCGCGCGCGACACAGAAGGCGAAGTGAGCATTTGTTTTTCTGAGACCTAGTCCCGGAGCACATAGGCCATCCACACATCCCAGAAGTGGTAGGCTCGTTCCGTTTGCAGACATATGCAAGAGCAAATAGAGCCCGCCAGGTTTGGACCTAGGGGCACCTACTACGTCACAAAAATGTGGATCTCTCCTATATTGTAGGTATAGTTGTTCGTATAGCAAGTCTACTCCGTAGCAGACGTACCTATGCTGTACCTACTGTATACCTACTCCGTATTTCTGATCCTGGTATTTTGGGATGTATGTAACACACCTGGAGCGGACAACACAGAGAAGAGCACCGCGACGTCACAATAAGAGGTGTTAGGGTGGTTTGCTTATGGCGTGTGCAAGGACTCGTGAGTGTTCACGAGTTGGGGCAGAAGCATGAGCTCGCGAGAATTCGCGAGCTTCTGTAGGTTCAAGTGTTAGCGAGTTTCCGCGAGTGGTTGAGAGGTTTTTCGCGTGCTTGAGTTATATGCGGGAATTTCAGTGAGTGTTCGCGAGAGTTCGCGAGATTTCGGGAGATTCAGAAGGGAGTAGTGTTTTAGCGAGATTTTGGTGAGTTCTGGTGAGTTCTCGCGGGAGTCTAGTGAGATTTCGTGGGAGTGAAATGGTGTTGGGCGAAATTCGCCTCTAGGCTAATTTCGACCAATCAGATTGGTCAAAATTGGGTGGTTGCTTCACCACCAACCTAGAGTGACGAATTTGTGGGGCCCCCTTGAGCTTGGGGTCCAATCAGAATCACAGAAATTGGGTTGAGGTGGTCAAGTGGCGAGTAGACTTTGGTGCACCTCCCCCTAGACCCAAACAGGTGGAACCAATCAGATTTCGCCACTCTTATCCAACCATCCAACTACAATTCGGTGCAAATTCGGAAGACAAACGACAAGGACTGAATTTCGGTGCACAATTCGGTTACGAAGCTGAGGTTGAAATGGGGCAACGCGGACCGCAGCGAAATCCGAAACGCAAAGCGCATCGACCTTGTTTTTCGTTCCTTTCTGCTTGTAGAACTTCGAATGTATCACTTGTTTCTAGTGGAATTGAGTTTTCAGCAGAGAAAACTTATACTTATTCTAAACAATAGTAACCTCCTCTGTCGGAGGCGCTGCCGAAATAGAAGAGGACAAGGAAGCAGCGAGCAGACAGATGGTGGGAGGGCATGCCACCATTGCTTTAGAGCCAGATGCCGAAATATAATTATGTTGCCGCGCACTGTAAGGTGAGACCCATGTCCAGTGTCTTCGTCCCCAGGTGTGCAACCCGTGCTTGCCCAACTATGTCAGGTGAGAGATAATCCCAGGCTATTGCCAATGCAGAGGAGGTCATTCCGTGATTGGCCTGCTGTGTCATTTGGGACCAAGTGCCCGTGCCTGCCCCCCTTGCCTAGCTGGGCGCAACGACTGCGCCCTGCCTTATGCACACGTGAGCAGACCGTGGCTGTCCCTCTATGCCAGGCGAAAACCACATCTAACCTACACCCAACTCTAGCTGAGCACACCGTGCCTCCCCCTCAGTCTCAAGGGAGACCTACGCCCTTCCTTCCCTTGCCTAGCTGAGCACGCCTTGGCACCCCCTCACTCCCAGGTGAGACCCATGTCCTACCTCTGCCAGGTGCCTTCCTCAGCATACCGTTGCTGCCCCTTAGTGCTAGGTGGAACTCTTCAACATACCATGTAATATGCCTATCGGCGCACAACGTGGCTGCCCTTTAGTGTCGCCAGAGACTCTTGCCCATCCTTTGCCATATGCTTGACCTTCAATTAAGTGTGGGTTCTCATCTCCCCTTGCCCCGTGAGACCCGTGCCCAACCTCTGCCATATCCCTAGCATAGCATACCATGGCTGCCGCCCAGTGTCGGGTGAGACCATGCTCATCCTCTCAACACACATAGCAAAGCATATCATGGCTTCCCCACAGTGGGAGGGCGGGACCATGCCCATCCGCTCATCTAGTCTAGCAGAGCATACCACGGCTACCCCCCAGTGTCAGGTGAGACCCTGCCAATCCAAAGCATACCATGGCTGCCTCCCAGTGTTCTGTGAGACCATGCCCATCCCCTCATCCAGTCTCGCACAGCATAACATGCCCGTCGGTGTCATGTGAGACCCACGCCCGTGTCCAGCCTTTCCTCTCCCCTTGCCCTGCAGTCTGATTCCTGGCTGCCCCTATCTGTCAGAAGTGGACCCACCTATATGCTTCTCGCCTCCCTAGCATATCCGAGCATGCCACGGCTGCCCCTTTGTGTCTGGTGAGACCTATGCCCAACCTTCTCCTCTCCCCATGCCAAACGCATAAAACCAGTGCTGCTCCTGTTTGCCGTTGTTTTGCACACACTCTTCATCTCTCCATGCTAACATATCAAAGCATGCCATGGGTACACAGCGTTGTCAGGAGAGACCCATGCCCATGTCCATTATTTCCCATCCCCTTGCCTACAGACTCATTCTTGGCTGCCCAAATTTGGCGACGGTGGACTCACCCACATGAGCTTGCCTCACTAGCACATATCCGAGCCCCACACACGCATGCCCCCCCCCCCCCAAGTAACCCACGCCCCCTTCATGGCCATCTCTACGCATAACAACAGCAAGCCCACACAGAAGGATAGACAATACCCACTGTCGGCATCATGCATGCCCCATCACACAGCCATGGGCTGCTCTAGACCGCAATGGGCTATCCTCATACCAACTTTAGGTTTGGCCTTGCCAACCAACCTATGTCATGCATCAAGTTACACACCCACCATGCCATCCCTTGAAGGCTCCACGCATTCCCTACCAGGGTTGATCCAGGCTGAGGAGCTGGATTGCTGTGATGGCAGCGGAGTCCACGCAAGATGGGGCATCCATACACGCGCCAACAGCTGCAAGAGGCAGCCAGGTCGAGGTCAGTGCTCACAAAATCCCCACTAAGGCACTTTGAAGGCAATTACCGAACGGTGCATACGTAGGGGTAACTTCATTGCATGTAATGGCCATATTCAGACTCCAATACCTGGTGGGGCAGGGCAAGCAATGACGTTGCCACTACCAACTCTAACTGGCTACACTTGTGCGTCCATACCCTACAGACTTTGGGTCCTGAGCCGGCGGCCGATGCAACACATGAGGGTGTAGCAACCCGTGGACGTATGGCTGCAGAAGCCAGCCAGCTAGAGGTTAGTGTTTGCTGATGGCCGCCTTGGGTTGAAGCGCCCTTCAGGCCGGTTGACAATCATGTGCCCTGCCCACAGTTTTGGCAAAAACTCAGCATCATGGTAAACCTTACGCCCCCTGCATGAGAATCTGCCGATGGAAGCCCCAAACCTGCATGTGCAACCCCCACCTCTCACAAAGAATCAGGTACAAATTGCCCACCAGGATGTGGGAGGAGCAGCGGTGGCATGTGAAACCGGGAAACCAGCATGTGGGAGGGGTAGTAGAGGGCAATGGGAGGGGGAGCTGTGGACAATGGGTGGCAACAGTATGATGGAACTAGCAGTGGCAAGTAAGAGGGGGTAGCCAGGGCACGTAAGAGCGAGAGGGAAGAAGAGGGAAGTATGAGGGGTAGCTGAGGGAGGTTGGGGGGAAGCGGAGGCAGTCATCGGGGGAGAGTTGACGCATGTGAGAGTGGAAGATACAAGGAAGAGGGGAAACTGGCGAGAGTAAGAGGGGGAAATGGGAAGAGTAGGAGGGGGAACTGGGGAGAGTGAGAGGGGGAACTTGGGCAAGAAAGAGGGGGAACTGCGATGAATAAGAGGGGGAACTGGGGAGACTACGAAGGGGAAATGGGGAGAGTAAGAGGGGGAATTGGGGAGAGTAAGAGGGGGAGCTGAGGCGAGAATGAGGGGGAACTGGGGAGAGTAAGAGGGGGAAGCTGAGGCGAGTTGGAGCAGGAACTGGGATGATTAAGAGGGGAAAGCTGAGGCGGGTAAGAGGGGGAACCGGGAGAGAGTAAGAGGGGGAATTGGGGAGAGTAAAAGGGGGGGGTGAGGCAAGTAGGAGGGGAAACTGGGGAGAGTAAGAGGGGGAATTGGGGCGTGTAAGAAGGGGAAGCTGAGGCGAGTAAGAGGGGGAATTGGGGAGAGTAATAGGGGGAGCTGAGTCGAGTAAGAGGGGGAACTGGGGAGAGTAAGAGGGGGAGCTGGGGATAGTAAGAGGGGGAATTGGGGAGAGTAAGAGGGGGAATCTAAGGCAAGTTAGAGGGGGAACTGGGGCGAGTAAGAGGGGGATATGGGGAGAGTAAGAGGGGGAACTGGGACGAGGAAGAGGGGAGGAACTGCGACGAGTAAGAGGGGGAGAAGAGGCAAGAAAAAGGGGGAACTGGGGCGTGTAAGAAGAGGCGCATAAGCATATATACGGGGGACATGAGGCTTGCCCTGGGAACCCATAGGCATGCTGCCTGAGCACTTAGTGTGTGAGCAGCCTAGGCGCATGGCTACCCAGGGCGAGTTTACTGCTTAGGCGCGCAGTGCTCGGTTCGCATGCACCCAACTGCATTCGCGAGTGGCGCCTCGCTTGGATGGCTAGAATGTGGGGCTAACATCCTCTCTCCCGTGTCGTCCCTCTCCCGTTCGTGTCCCTCTTTCATCCACGCCACTCGAGTCGTCCCTCTCTTGCCTTCGTCTTCCCCCTCTCTGGCGCAGTTCCTCACTCTCTACCGTCGTCCCTCTCCCATTTTCGGCCCTTCCTCTCGTGCGCCATCCCCCTTGATCTTGCCTCATCCCTCCTTACCTGCTTTGTCATTCGTCCCTCTCTCAGATGACACATCCCCCTCTTTTTCTTAGCGTCCCTCCCTCCCCCGCACCGGCGTACCCTCACTGGCGCTGTCCGTTTCTCACCCGCACCGTCCCTCTGGTTCTCGCCTTGTCCTATCCTCACCCGCGTCGCCCATTTCTCAGCAATATCGTCACTCACTCCCTCGCACCGCCCCCCTCCCACTTGTTCTATGTCGAATAACTAGGGACCACTTATTTGTTTTAAAAACAACAACGGTTTCAGAGGAAACCCAGTTTCGCCAGGAGGTCGCGGATGTCTACGCCCACCTGCGGCGCCGCGCTGATTTCAGTAACGGGGGCGGATCTGGCGGAGTAGCGAATGCGCATTGGAAAAGGAACAATCTTCGGCGCCTCCGAGTTTCCCGAGCGGTTGCTAATGGTGGTCGTAATATATGCGCGATTTGTACTTAGATTGTTTCGTACTGCGAGAAGCCTCCGATCTAACCAATGCGGCTGCTCACGCTAGGTTGGCGCTCCGCTGCTATGCCCGCACGATGGGGCGGGATTGCGGTTTTACGTCGGCTCGGCTCTCCCTAGTATCGCGGGTCTGAGCTTTCTGTGCTGGAGCGACTCTCTGATAGTGGCATCACGAGCAGGTTTTAATAGGCATATGGATTTCTCTCTGTCGTGCACTTTTCCATCACACCCTGTGTTGTCCGCAGCACTCGTGCGACCTCTCTTCCTTCGCATAGTGTTTTTTCCGCGTGCTTTTGGGTGGTTGTACTTTCCGGGCAGCTGCCCGTGCCGAAACGGATTTTGCAAGTTCGCCAGATACACTTTGCCTTGTTTGACACTCAACACAACTTCTACCTGGGTCCAAATTGAAGCCGGGTTTGCTATTTTAGCCTGGGGCTTTAAATAAAACTTGAAAAAATCTCATCCGATCGATCACAATAGGTTGCTCCGCAACCCAAAAACTAAATTTGATTGACCACACCTACGTTATTTGAGTTTCTCTGTCAACTTATACATATTATCTATGTAGAAGTTATAGGCTAGACTTAGGTATGCTTCTAGTGAGTACAACCAACTAGTATTTGTTCTAGGTTTCCACCTCTAGTAATCATTCGTTTCTACGTTAACATGGTATCACGCTTAGGTTAGGATCCCCCCGCCTACCGCTTCCGCCCGTCGCGCCTCCTAGGCCCCGTCGCGCCCCCTAGGCCCCGTCGCGCCCCCCCTGGGCCCCGTCGCGCTCGTTAGGCCCCGTCGCGCCCCCCCTGGGCCCCGTCGTGCCCGCTGGGCCCCGTCGCGCCTCCTAGGCCCCGTCGCGCTCCCCCTGGGCCCCGTCGCGCCCGCTGGGTCCCGTCGCGACCCCTAGGCCCTAACGCGCCCCCGCTGGGCCCCGTTGCGCCTCCTAGGCCCCGTCGCGCCCCCCATGGGCCCCGTCGAGCCCGCTGAGCCCCGTCGTGCCTCCTAGGCATCGTCGCGCCTCCTAAGCCCCGTCGCGTCCCCCCCCTCTGGGCCCCGTCGCGCCCGTTCGGCCCCGTCGCGCCCCTCCTAGGCCCCGTTGCGCCCGCTGGGCCCCTTCAAGCTTCCTAGGCCCCGTCGCGCCTGCTAGGCCCCGTCGCGCCCCCCCTGGGCCCCGTCGCGCCCGTTAGGCCCCGTCGCGACCCCCCTGGGCCCCGTCGTGCCCGCTGGTCCCCGTCGCGCCTCCTCGGCCCCGTCGCGCCCCCCCTGGGCCCCGTCGTGCCCGCTGGGCCCCGTCGCGCCCCTTAGGCCCCGTCGCGCCCGCTGGCCCCTGTCGCGCCTGCTGTTAGCGCTCGCCCGCCTGGCCTCCTCCTAGTGCCGCCCGGCCTCCTCCTAGTGCCGCCCGGCCCCTTCCTAGCGCCGCCCGGCCTCTCCTCAGCGCTGCCCGGCCCCTCCTCGTGCCCGACCGGCCCCAGTAGCACCAGCCCGGCCCCAGAGCACCTGCCCGCCTCCCCTGCTCGGCCTGCCGTGTCCTCTCGGGCCCTGTGTCTTCTGCTTGCCTGCGCTGGGACACCTAGCTGCTGCCCTACTGGAGAGTGCTGCCGCCGTGTCCCCGCGCCGCTGTGCTCCTGTGCCGCTGAGGAGCTGTGCTGCTGTGCCGCTGTGTCGCTGAGGAGCTGTGCCGCTGACCCTGCACGATGGCTGACTTTGTGCTCCGCCTGGACGCTGAGGGCCACGCGGTTGACTTCGCCGCCTGGCTCTCCGATCTTCGCCGCCAGCTTACAGGTCAGCGCCAGGATGGCCACTCTCTGGTTGTCCATGCTGATGGCTTGCTCCCCCGTCCCCCTGCACCTACTCCCCTCCCTGCTGACCCCTCCTCTGATGACCGTGAGGCTTTCTCTACTGCTGCGCTGGCCTGTGCGGTCTGGGACTCACGCGATGCAGTAGCTCAGGTTGCTATTAGTCACGCCCTCCCTGTGTCTGAGCGCTCGCGTTTTGCTACTGTTGAAACGGCCAAAGCTTATTTAGACGCCGTTATTGCTCGCTATTCCACCCCTGCCTCCGCTTCTGCTGGCCGCTTGCTCTTTCCGATGCTGTTCCCAGACCTGGCTGCCTTCCCTACTGTCGCAGATTTTGCCACTCATTTGCTTGCCCTAGAGACTCGCTATCGCACTGCCAGCACTGCTGCCCAGCTCACTGCGCTCCCCCCTCCTTTCTGCATGACGCTCTATTTTATCGCTATGCGCCTGCCAGACCGCCTCGCTAGTGCTCGCGACCACTTTCTTAGCCAGCACCCGGGTGACCTCACCCTGACCGCCTTTGTCGACACCCTCACTGAGATCGAGACTCGCCAGCGCACTATCGCTCAGTCGAGCGGTGCGCCGGCAGTCTCTATCTTTTACGGCTGTGCCCCATCCCAGTGCACGTTCACTGACGTTTCGGCTGCGGTCGCCACGGCGACCCCTCTTACCGAGACGGCTGCTGCTGTCCACCCGCAGCAGCGCTCGCGTCGCGGTGGCCGTGGCCGCCAGGGAGGTAGGGGTGGTGACGCAGGTGGTAGTGGTCGTGGTGGTGGTGACGGTAGTCCGCCTGAGGGGACTACCACCGGTGGGCAGGAGCAGCAGCCCCAGCAGCAGCAGGACCAGCCCCAGCCGCAGCCGCCGTCCCAGCAGCACCCGCCGCCGCCGTGGGCTCGTCTCCCGCCTGGTTGGCCCGGCACCTCCGGAGGCGGTGGCCGTGGTGGCGGCCCGCGCAGCTTGGCGTCTACCAGCGGCTCCAGTGCTGTGACCTGCCAGTACCAGCTTCAGACCGGGCCTCTCCGCGGCACTCTGTGCCGCCGCCCGCACCCGACCGCCCGCTGTTTCCGCCGCCTCGACGATCTTTTTCGTCGTCGCTTTGGCCCGGCCCCGGACCTCCCTGACTGGCACAGCCTGCTCCGCCAGGGCGTGCCGATCTTTGAGTTAGACATGGATCAGATAGGTGCTGCTTTGCATGCTTTGTATGCTGACGCTTCTAGTGTTGCTGGATCTTACTACCCTGTGTACTCTAGTTTAGGTGTTTCACCCTTGTGTAGCTTAGCTTCCCCTGCTGCGACAGGCGTAGGACTGCCTAGGTTGCCTAGTCTAGTCGCTGCACCGGCTCCGTCCCCGGCCTCCGCCACTGCGTCGCTGTCCTTCACTCTCGACTCTGGTGCTTCTGCCTGCTTCTTCCGCGACCGTTCCACGCTCACGCCGCTTGCAGCACCTGCTGTTGTCTCTCTCGCTGACCCCTCTGCGGGTCCGGTCGTCGCGCGCAGTTCTACGTCCCTTCCCTGTCCGGCAGTTCCCTCGGGCTCCCTTACTGGCCTCCACGTTCCCTCGTTCTCCAGGAACCTGGTTGGTGTCGGCTGTCTTCAGGACCTCGGCGTCACCACCACGTTCCCCGGGCACGAGCGGTTCGCTGTCTGTTCTGAGGCTGTCTCAGGTTCCCCCCTTGCGACGTTCCCCCGGGACCCGGTGTCCGGTCTGTTTACCCTACACACCGCTTCCCCCCGGTTGGTGCGTCCTCCCAGGTCGCTGCAGCTTGCTCGTGTCGGTCCCTCACTCACCCCTCCCTTCTCTGGCACCACCGCTTAGGTCACCCTGCTCTCCCGCGTCTGCGTCACATGTCCCAGCACGGTCTTGTCTTAGGTCTCCCCGCGTCGCTCCCTGCCCTTCCTCCCTCGACTGCGCCACCGTGCACGCCTTGCGTCGAGGGTCGGCTCCGCCGTGCTCCTCACTCCTCCTCGCTGCGTCCTGCTACTGCCCCCCTTCAGACCCTGCACTTGGACGTTTGGGGCCCTGCCCCCGTCCCCGGACCGCGCGGTGAGCGCTACTTCCTTGTGCTTGTCGACGACTACACGCGCTACACCACGGTGTTTCCCCTGGAGCGGAAGGCCGACGTGCCCGACGTTCTTCTCCCGTGGGTTGTGGCTGCGCGTCTCCACCGCGGTCTCCCCGTGTTGTGTCTCCACTCCGACCGTGGCGGCGAGTTCGCCTCTGGTCGGCTTGGACAGTTCTGTCGTGCGGAGGGCATCACCCAGTCGTACACGTTGCCGGACTCGCCACAGCAGAATGGGGTTGCTGAGCGCCGCATCGGCTTGGTCATGGAGGTCGCCCGTACCTCCATGATCCATGCCGATGCCCCCCATTTTCTGTGGCCGTTCGCTGTTCGCTACGCGGCTCACCAGCTTAACCTGTGGCCACGCTCCCGGCGGCCGCAGGTTTCGCCGACCCTCCTTTGGACCGGGTCCCCCGGTGACGCGTCTGCGTTCCACGTCTGGGGCTGCTTTGCTCACGTTCGTGCCTCTGGCACGGACAAGCTCACTGCCCGCACTGTCCCCTGTGTCTTCCTCGGTTTCCCCCTGGACTCGTCTGACTGGCTTTTCTACCACCCGCCGTCTCACCGCTTCCTCCACTCTCGTGACGTCACCTTTGACGAGTCCGTCTCCTTCTACCGCCGCTTCCCTCACCGAGGTCTCCCAGTTGCCCCCCCCTTTTCCTTGCTCCCTCTCCCCCGGTAGCCCCTGCCCCTCTCCCGCCTCGTCCTGCCCCGTCTGGTGTCTCCCACGTCACTCCCCTCCCGTCGGTTGTCCCCGTTGAGGAGTCTGCTGACTCTGGTGGTACCCCCGGTCCGTCCTTGCCGCGTCCCCCTTCCCCGGTGCCTCCGCCCCCACTGTCGCAGTCGCCGACCCCGCTGCCGCCGCCGTCGCCGTCGCCGCCGCAGCCGTCGCCGCTGTCGTCGTCGCCGCCGCCGCTGTCGCTGCCGCAGCCGTCGCTGCTGTCGCCGCCGCCGCAGCCGTTGCCGCCACTGCCGCCGCTGCTCTCGGCCCCTGGGGGTGCTGGTGTGGAGGAGGGTGTTCGTCCTGCGGCTTCTGGGGGTGCCGCTGGTGTTGGAGGGGGTTCTCGCTCTGGGGGTGTTGGTTCTGGGGGTGCTGCTGTTGAGTGTTCTGCCGACGGTCGTTCTGCCTCTGCTGGTCCGAGAGTTCCGGCCCAGCCGTCGTCGCCGCCGCAGCAGCCGTCGCCGCCGGTTTCCGCTCTCCGCCTGCTCGGCCTTCCCTCCCCGGACCGCGCGCCGGTGTCTCCCCCACCGCCTCCTGACCTCCCTGTCTACGGTCCTGTGTTCCCGCCGCCAGACTCGTC